TATATATATATATATATATTATATATATATATATATATATATTATACTGTATATTTTGTAATTAGATATAACTTTGCGGCAAAGAAATCATTACAATTGTTAATATTGTGAGAAAAATTCGATTTTGACTTTTCTTCATCCCGCAAAACATTTTATTAACATTGAATGAAAAAATTTATATTTCATTTATATGATGAAATATGTTGAGTGGAAGGTCCATATAATTGTCGCGTTTGTACGGTTTATTCACTATATTGTGCCTTACTTGTTTAGAATTATTTTGGACAACTATCTTTATTGTTAGGTTTCTTAATTATTATGGGGTTAATAATTAATTACATGATATTTCAGGTTGTGATATTAGATCCTAGAATAAGCGAGCATGATCCCACATATGAGAGGATATTGAAAAGATATCATGATCTTCTTCAGTTCTGCTGGAAAAAGTGTGCTAATTCAGAACAAAGCAACTTTGATTTTGAAGATTCTGATAATGAATATATTGGAAATGAATTCAGTAATACTGATAAAAATTCTACTTCAATGACTGAAACACAAAATGATGATTGACAAATGATGACAAACTAAAAGAAGCATCAGAAGCTTTTAACTTCACGAGTAATTTATAGTATAATTTAATATATAACGAGAATAATAATTTTTGATATAATATATATATATATATATATAGATATATATATATATATATATATATATATATATATATGATGAAATATTTTTACTTTGACAAATTTTGCTAAACTTAAATAATATTATTCTCGTTAAGGGTCGTTTGGCTTTATGGATGATGCGTTTACAAGGAGCAGAATTCGATCCAGAATCTAAACAACATCTTCATGATTATTTTGTTGTGAATTCATCAAATCTCTATATATCTTTTATGGAACAAAATGGTAATCCCCATTAGCTAACGAAATATTAAAGAATAATAAAAAACATTGGGAACATTTTTTACTAACTTAAGAGAGTAAGTATTCAATTTCTTAAGTTTTTTTAATATTACAAGTAATAAATACTGAAGTGTCTGCATAGACCTTTTTGAAAATTATGTAGACAATTAGATACTGAACAGAGAAATTAAGATGGATTATTATAGTTTCAGATTCATGTTTACTTGATAGGGATTATTTTTTTTATTATATAGTGTAATAATAACTTTTTTGAAGTACTGATATATGTAATCAGTAGCAATACACTTAACTAAGTACAATTTTTTTCCATTTGTCCTATGTGATGTGTACCCCTAGATTATAGAGTACTTATCAGCTTGATTTTTTTTTCAATAATCACGACACTTTTACTTACTTACCGTTTTCGGCGTTTTGGGTTCTCATAATTGACTAGATGTTACCTGTTTAAAGATAGCTAAAGATTGTACAAGATTATGTTATATATTATTACTATTATTATTAATATTTTATGCATAATTAATAAATTTAATGCTTTTTGCAGATCAAACGAAATTAAAATCCAAATAACAAAGGAGCAGGATGAGATAATTAACGCATTTTCTGACATTGAAGCTGACAAAATAAATGAGATTGTTACGATTGTAAGAAATATTATACAACTTGTAAAATCAAAAACTTTTTATGGGGTAACTAATAAAGATATTTTGGTGAGTAAGACAAACAAATTAATATATGATCGAAAACTTAAAAGTACTTTCAAGTACTGCCTTATTTATCATAAATCTTGACTGGAATTATCCAGTTATAAAATTAAAAACAATTCTCAAAACTTAGTGTTACAAAAAGATTAATTTAATTAAGGGTAATAAGGAAAATAGCAGTCAATTTAAATGTTATAAAAAAAATCTAAGACTTAGTAATAAAAATACATCAAGATTACTCACTAAAAGAAAACATGAATTTTAATTAGTTTGCATATGACTACTCAAATATCTTACAATTTATAGTTGATTTAGTAATATTTCAAATCGAGTTCTTTATCACAAAAAGGTGTAAGTGGTATTTTTAGTTTAAAAAATATCGTGAAATGCCATTACTACCTACGCTATCAAGAAATTGTGATAACAATATGAATATTCCATTTTTATACACTTGTATACACACTTTTTCCAACTTTTGTGGATAGATATTTTGAACGAAAATAAAAACATCATATTTTTCTTAATTTATTTTATATCTATCATTAATTTATAATTATTAAAGGGTTTTTGTATTTTTTAAGTTAAAATCTAAATGTATAGGATTATGTTATTGTTATTTAGGGCTTTGCTTTCATTTTGGTTTTATTTACAGACACTATTGCAATCCATTACCATGAACAAGCTTCCTATGAATGCATCAGACCTCATAAGTCGTTTAGTCAAACAACAATTGATTTTGCGAGTGGGCATTTGTGAACCTAGATATATTCATAAATTTCATGCTTCACCATGGCTTGTACAAACTACGAAAGTGCTCCGACTGGATCGTGAGAAAATGTTTAATGCAAAAGACATCTTACATAGTTCAAGTGGTAAAAGAAAACGAAATATGAGGTATTAATGCAATGATCATGATATTTTTTAAAAACAGTTCATTTATAATATTTACTGTTTTTTAACTTTCCAAAGAAAAAGTTTATGTTTTCATCAAAAAATTCGATTATCTAATTTTGTTTTCTCGACGTCTCAAGCCATTTTGAACCGAATGAGACCAAATTTGGAAAAAGTATGTGTGTGTGTATGTATGTGAACAGATTTTTCGCCGTAAATTGACGTTTTCTCAAAAACGGCTGGGCCGATTTCAAAAATTTAAAAGCCATTCGCTGTATCTCGATGAGGACTAGCGTTTATCAATTTTGCGCGACGATCAGCCAAGCCGTTTCTTTGTACATTGCAAAAAAGTGAACAATTTTTCGTCTACGTTTCAGCCCGCAATTCTGAATCGATTTTTGAAAATTCAAAAATTGTTTTTGGTAAAGATCGGATTAATCTTGTAATAAAGTGTTAAAAAATTTTAGTCTTTTAGATCATACTAAAATATTACGCCCTTACGACAAGTAGTTTAATTTTCAAAAAATGTCATAGTTTGCAAAAATTAGTATCGTTTTTTTGGCGTTTGTCAAAATTAAAACATTCATCGTTTTCTCACATACGGCTAGACCGATTTCAAAAATTTAATAGCCAATCGATGTATTTCTATGTGGATTATCTTTTTCTCGATTTTGTGCGACGATCGGCTGAGCCGTTTCTTTGTAAATAGCAGAAAAGTAACAATTCTTTGTCCACGTTTTTGCTCTCAATTCTGAATCGATTTTAAAAAATCAAAAACTGTCGAAAGATATTGGTTGCGAATGATACCGATTAGTTTTAGGTATATATATAAAGATAACATAAAAAGTTCAATCGTGATAATGGTAATCTTCAGTAGGTCTAGTACGTCTGTTGCAAAAAAACGAAAGGTGGAAGAGCAGGAATCTGCATTGGAAATGGAAGTTGATGAGCTTGAAACTACAGCAAGCATAGATGATTCCATGTAACTATAATTTTATATTTATCTATAGCACAGTACCTAACTATTTTATATGAAAAAAATACATGACGTTTTTGCACTGTACATTCATAGCAACCTTCCACAAGAGCAACTTTCACAATCAAGTATACTAGAAGAAAGTAATACTGAGGAATCTCAGGAAAGGACGGTCTTAGATGAGTCTACAGAGGTTCGTGAAGGTGCTCAGTATGTAGAAAGGTAAATAATTATTATTTTAATGATGAACTTTATCATTATTTGTGATGATCACAAATTCTTATTCTTTTCAGTGCATGTGAGCAACTTAAAATTACTATTAGCCCTTGGATAAGAGTGGATGGTAGTATTAACAAAAGAGTTTTAGATCAATGGTTAAGTACAGTTTTAAGTTATTGTTTGTCATTACCGGGAATTTTATTGCAAGATGTGCAGAAAAAGTTCAGTTTTCAATTACCATTTCATACAAGGCAACTTGTTGAGGTTTGTATATTAACTAGTGTTTTATTTTCTAGCTGTATAAATATGAAAAGTTTATTATCAAGCCATAGCGGTTTATTATTTTTTAGTTTTTAAAAGCAAGTTTAGTAGTATCTATTACGTAATCAACTAATCTAAACTATCTTACAATTTAAATTTGATATTAATTGCACTTTTAACTATAAATAATCAAACATAAAGGATAAAGGCCAGTCAAGACATTTTAACGAATTTTTTTTTTACTAAACTTAATTGAATGGATTGTGCTATCAAATAAAAAAGAAATTTGAAAACATTCAGTAGTTTAATTATAGCATTTTCAACAAACAAAAGCTATTTGATCAACAATTTAGTTAATTACAATTAATACTGTAAATAAATAAATAAATAAATAAATATATATATATATATATATATATTTATATATAATTTATCTTTTTTTAGATATTGGTGCAACTAAAATGCTTATATCTCCAAAAAGTTGTGCGAACAGAAGTTAATCTGTTTTCAAAAATGTCTCAGACTACAATAGGTAATTAATTATAAACTTAAATATATTTGATTATCTATAGATGATTGCAAAAGCAAAATAGATAATATAATACAAAATATGATAGTTTACGTATTAGGTACGTAACTAGAAATTCACAAAAAAAAATCTGAAATATGTTTACTACTTATTTCTATAAATTTTGAAAAATTATTATGTATTTATAGATCACATAATATTGGATTTTAAAATTTGATAAATTTAAATATATTATTGTTTTTCTTGATGAATGTATTAAAATATATATTTTGTTTGAATAGAATCAGCAAGTGGTTTAGAAGAAGCAGGAGAGATGATAATTATGCCAGCTGAAGATGCTGTTTTAAAGTTTGGTGTTTTTATAGGTGACAGAATATATGCAACTAGTTTTTTAACTCATGTTAAATAATTTATTCAGGATTTATTTTCTGACATATATTTTGTATATACTTGTGTATTTTATTAAGAATGTATATTTTGTAAAATGGAAAATAAATATATTATTTATTAATTATTAATTATAAGTGATTTTTAGTTGATAATTTATTTTACTATAATAATACTTAGTCATAATTATAATTATGTCCTGCTTAATATACTCTGAAAGATCTTGAATCAGATAATAATAGCTGGTATCAATAGATAAATACATGAAATGAAGACGTTTTCATTTAAAATATCTTTGTTGTTTTAGTTTAAAATATTGCCAGGATGGTATTCCTGCGAACTGTCAAATGAGGGTTGCACCCTCTAACCTCAAACTGTTGCAATGTGTCAATCGATGCTTAGTTTAAATTATATTTCAAAATGTACAAATAAATATATGTTAAATACTAAATAACTATGAAAGCCTATCGTAGTTCTTGTGCAGCCTCTGGTGTAGGAGGCTGTGTAGAACCAGAGCGCGAAAAGGATGGCTTAATCTCCCGCGAGCCAATTGTGGCCCCAATTGAACACGATTATAGTGGCTTTGATATTGTTAAAGCGACCCAGTACGGTGCTTTATCAAGAGTGAAAGAATTGATAGATGCTGGATGGGATGTTAATCAGCCAGATTCAGAAACGGTTACTTTATTACATTGGGCTGCAATTAATAATCGTAAAGATATTGTAAGATATTTTTTGGACAAAGGGGCTGTTGTTGATGCTGTTGGGGGTGAATTAAATGCTACTCCATTACATTGGGCCACAAGGCAGGGACATCTTGGTACTGCTGTTTTATTGCTATCGGCAGGTAAATCAGTTATTTCATTTATTATTACAATATATTGAAATTATTTTCTTGGTATAATTATTATTTGAATAAAATGAATACAAAGAACCAATTATCATGTGTTTATTATATTAAATGTTTTTTTCAAAGCAATTGTGAACTCATACATATGAAAACCATCCAAAAAAGATATGATCATGTAAATAGTAATTTCAATCATATCAATTTACTATTTATTTATGTATTCAGCTTAGAACTTATGTAGGGGTTGTATTAAGTTGGAACTGGAATAAAATTTTGTAGAAGAAAAGTTTCAATCTCATACATGTATATTTTTCAATATACATGTATTGTACACCTTTGTGGCAATTATTGATTTGAATGATGTATATGTAATAGTTGTTACATTTATTTTCAATAATTTTTTAGGGGCAGATCCAACTTTACGTGATGCCGAAGGTTGTTCATGTTTACATTTAGCTGCTCAATTTGGTCACACTGCTCTTGTTGCATATTTAGTTGCTCGAGGTGTAAGTCCAGACCTTGGTGACAGGGGTGGAATGACGGCTCTAATGTGGTCTTCTTGGAAGGTATATAGAAACGCTTCTGTGATAGAAGGCTAACATATAGTGTTTAAGCAAGTTTATACATTCTTTTTGATGCATTTGATTTAATTAATATCCTTTATTTTTCTATTCATAAAATTATTTTGTAAAATGTATATCAAAAAAATATATAAAACTATAAGTTATAAGGATATAAAACTAAGACTATATTTACAGATTACTGCCTTGGACCCAACAAGATTATTGTTAACATTAGGCGCAAGTCCTGGCTTGGCAGACAGCACTCATGGAAATACTGCATTGCATTGGGCGATATTAGCCAGAAATACTTTGGCGATAAATACTTTAGTTCTTCAGGTATGTTTAGTTTGATAGTATAAAATTTATTTCAAAATATAAAATTTAAAATATGTATTTAATAAAAATTTAAACTAATCTGAGATCTGCAGATATAAATTAAGTTTTAAAACAATAATGAAATAATTAATTAGTAATATTTTTTTTAGGGAAAATCTTCATTGAATACACCAAATTTTCGTGGTGATACACCATTGTCAATGTTACAATCACAGTTGGGTTCACTTTGGATTACACCAAAAGTAGCAGAAAAAATAAAAGAAGCATCACATGCTCCTAAACGGCAAAATATTTGTCAAAGGATTGTAAATGATAAAGTAAATACCATATACATTATCTTACTTCAACTTTGTATAAAGATATCAAATTTTAACATGCACTGTTTTACTGCTATTATAGATGTGATGAAATAAGCTTATTATTAATTTCAGCGATCAAGATGGTGGGTCATGGTTTGGATGCCATTTTTAACATTTTATGTAGCTGGTATGATTTTTTCAGCAGATTTGTATGTCATAATAAAAATTTTCCTTCTTGGCATTGTTTATTCAATTGTGCACACAATGGGTCGCTTGCTATTTGATGAGCATTTGATGGCTCTGCTGCCACTAAGTGTTTACTTAGCTACTAAAGCTTGGTTTTATGTTACATGGCTGGGGTAAGATTCGCATATATTGTTTATTACTAAAATCGATTTTTATTATGTAAAAAATTGCAAGTCACCTATAATCTTTGAAAAATTAAATATAAATCACTTAGTTTTCAAATTAGTTTCAAAAACATGTTACATCTTATTGTACTTTGGATTTAAATTCTATATTTAAAACAAATTCACAATTGACTAGGCTTTTTTCTAGTAACCTGATTATTTCTCATAACACTATATTTTAGACTGATTTTATTTATTGAAGGCAAAATAATTAAAGTTAAATATTGAATAAATATTTTTGTAAATTATTTTTAAAGCTATTAATTTATGCAATTTTTAAAATGTTATGTTATGTAGTATAAATTTTAATTTTTATTTTTTATCATAGTTACGTATCTCCAGTGGTCAGTGGGTGGACTACTGTAATATTCTTTGCATGCTCAGGATTATTATGGATATGCTTTTTGAAGTCCTGGAGAGGTGATCCAGGCGTAATTACACCTACTCAAGAGCAGAGATTTAGGGTAAATATATATATTTAGCTTTTCTAAATATGATCTATATGAAAATATGATCTATATGAAAATATATATATATATATATATATATATAAATATTTGTGGATAATATTGTTATCAATATGGCATAGAAATTATTAGTTCGAAGATTTTATCTTTTTCTTTATTGTTTTCCATTTTTTGCAGTTTTAGTCCCAACTAAAACTTCGACTTTTGATTGATATTCAGCAGTAAAAAATACATTTGGAAAACATATGTCTCACAAAACTTTTTTTTGTTTAATATAAAGGAACTTGTCTTAGCCGTAGTGTCAGATGACACATCCTTAGAGTTCTATATTTCTTTACTATTAACTACAATTTTTCTTAATCAAATTATTATTAAAATCTAGAAATCATTTTTTAGTCTGTTTGTGAATGAAACCATTTTTCATTTGTGATTTTCAATCAATTTAATGTTATTTACTGCCCTGAACTATATCAACATAGTTAAATTATTGCTGATGTCAGCACGCAATTAAGTTAAGGAAGCTATCCATAATATTAGTTATATTATAGTGTGACCGAAGTACTTGTTTGATAACAAAATAGATAAAATACAAATGCACTAACTTATCATGAGTTATAATAAATCATAATTATAATTCACCTTTATTAACTTCCCGAAGGAGAAATTTATGTTTTCATCAAAAAATCCGATTCGCTAATTTTATGTTTTCTCGACGTTTCAAGCCATTCTGAATCGAATGAGACCAAATTTGGAAAAAGTATATGTGTGTGTGTGTGTATGTGAACAGTTTTTTTGCCGTAAATCGACGTTTTCTCGAAAACGGCTGGGCCGATTTAAAAAATTTAAAAGCCGTTCGATGTATCTCGACGAGGACTATCGTTTGTCAGTTTTGTGGGACGATCGGCCGAGATGTTTCTTTATAAATAGCAGAAAAGTGAAAAATTTTTCGTCTACGTTTTAGCCCGCAATTCTGAACTGATTATGAAAATTCAAAAACCGTTCGAAAGATATTGATTGGGAATCGTGCTGATTAGTTTTTGGTAAAGATCGGCCGGGCCGTTTTCTTGTGATGAAGTGTTAATTTTTTTTTTTCGACGATTTTCATTATTATTTTTTGATGGTAGATACTATAGTCTTCTAGATCATACTAAAATATTACGGCCCTACGACAATTGGTTTAACTTTGAAAATTCGTCAAAGTTTGCAAAAATTGGTATCGTTTTTTTGGCATTTGTCAAAATTAGACCTTTCATAGACGTTTTCTCAAAAACGCCTGAACCGATTTCAGAAATTTAAAAGCCATTTGATGTATTTCGATGAGCACTATCGTTTGTCAGTTTTGTGCGACGATCTGCCAAGCCGTTTCTTTGTAATTTGAAAAAAAAGTGTTAAACTTTCCACATTTAAGCTCATCCTACCGAACCGATTTTAAAAAATCAAAAACTGTTCGAAAGATATTAGTTGGGAACAATACTGATTAGTTTTAGGTGAAAATCTACACCGAGCCATTTTCTTGTAATTAACTGTTGAAAAAAAAAATTTAAGCCGATTTTTATGGAAATTTTTTTAGCGATATATATATATCATGGTCTTATAGAACATACTGTAATATTACGGCCTTACGACAAGTAGTTTAATTTTAAAAATTCATCAAAGTTTAAGAGTAGTTTTTTTGACGTTTGTTAAAATTAAAATTGGACGATTTTACTTGGTATAACGATAGAGTACTTGGTTTTAATGAACTTATCAAGCCATTAAAGTCCTATGGAAACTGGTTCAATTATAACAATTGTTGATTTCTGAAAATTTACTTTTAGAAAATACACCGTGTCAAAGTGTTCGCTCGTTTTCAATTATGTATAATAAATCCACTCGGAATACTTTTAATCACTCATAAATTAATTTAGTTTTTAAGTCAATTATTTACACATATCGGGAAGTTCATGTAACTTGCCTCAAGGCTAAATACCAAACCAACTAGTTTATTTTTATTTTTCTAGACTATAATTGAACTGTCAGAACGTGGAGGAACTGGTTTTGAGCCTTCAGCTTTTTGTTCAGCTTGTTTAGCCAGGAGGCCAGTTAGATCAAAGCATTGTTCTGTATGCAACCGCTGTGTTGCAAAATTTGATCACCATTGCCCATGGGTTGGCAACTGCATAGGTGAGTTGAAGGCAACAAGTTTTATATTACCTGTATTACGATAATAATAAAAATGTAAAAGTTAATAAAAGAAATATGATAAATTACAAATATTTTTTAGGAGCTAAAAATCATACATATTTTATGGGTTTTCTGTGGAGTTTATTGCTAATGTGTGGTTGGATGATGTATGGTGCAGCCAAATTCTGGTCACAAAGCTGCCCAGGATATGTACAGCCTCACACGTCAGGATTAGTGCATCATATATCTAGCTCAACCACTACAGTTAAGTCTCATATATTACCTGTTGTGTCTAGTAATGGGCCGACGTTTGGAACGGCGTTTATAAACAAAGAACATTTGACTTCTTCAGCACATGAAAGTCAAAATGTCCAGGTAACTAGTTGTGAATAGCATTTTGCCTTAAGGCAAGTTAAATGAATTTTCTGATATGTACACATAATTTCAGATAAAATATTCAAATGTCAATTTCGCAAATAATATTTTTGCATTATTATTATTTATTTATTATTATTATTTGAACACTGAAAAATAATTGATACGATTTTCGATTGATGTCTTTCAATATATCTATATATATGTAATTATACAAGTTAAATTAATTTGTTTGCCCCATTTGATTTAGAATGAGAATCACTCAAACTCACATCGAAATTCCAACTTTAATTAATTGTTATAATTCAACCGCTTACCATAGGCCTATAATATTTCAATATGTTGTGAAGGACCAAACCTATCATTATACAAAGTTTCAACAAAATCATCAAAATGAAAAATTATCATAATTTAATTAGAAGGAAACGGCTTTTTTACTAAAAGCTAATCAACGCGATTCCTAACCAATACCCATGGAAAGGTTTGAAGATTTTTTTAATATTTTACATCGATTCAAAATTCTGGCCCAAAAAGAGGATGAAAAAATTTACACTTTTTTACTAATCAGAAAGAAACGGCTTGGCCGACCGTCGCGCACAGCTTACGATAGTCCTTATCGAGCTACATCAAATGACTGTTTTTGAGAAAACGTCGACGAAAGTTCAGAAATTGGCAAACATACACACATACGGGCATATTTTTTCCAAATTCGATTCCATTCAAAAATAGTCTCATTTAAATATATATGTATGCAAAATTTGTCTCACATCTCACATTTTAGCAATAATTTTTTAAAAAATATGATATTTCATATCATAATTGAATTTGGTTTTGTATTCATAAGATTGATAATATATTTCAATTGTTTAAATGCAGGATCCTCGCGATATGCTAATAATGATGGCTAGTTGTGAACCGTGGATGGCTTGGGTTGCAGCTAACGCATTACTGCATGCTACATGGGTAGCAGTTTTAGCTTGCTGTCAAACTTATCAGGTAATAATTCCATATTCTTTGTATTGTAATATATATTATATACTTTTTACCTTCCCAGAGGGTAGTAATCGCAAAAAAAAATCGAAAATAAAAATTTGTATATATCTTTATGTTTCAAAGGTTTCTAAACATTTTGGCATACCTTAGTAAAAATTGATGTATGTGTGTGTGCGGATACAAATTTTTGTCGACGATTTCGGGAGGGTAGATCAACCAATATGAATAATTCAAAAAACATTCGATAAGTATTGATAATTAGACGTGCTGATTAGTTTTTGGCATAGGCAGGTCTAGCCGTTTCGAAGAAAAAGTTTTCAAAAGGATGTCGTTGTTTCTAACTATTGAATTTATTCTCTTAGCAAATTGATCACTTATGTAATGTAGAATAACATTCCCCCACAAAAACCGAATGCATTCTCTCGAAACACTAATAATAATATTTGTTTTGCGCAGGTTATTTGTCTGGGTATGACGACGAATGAACGAATGAACCGAGGCCGATACCGCCATTTTCAAGCCCTGGGTGGTAAATCACCTTTCAACCGCGGGCCCCTATCAAATTTTTTAGACTTCTTCGAGATCAAGACTCGATGTTTTGGTCTGCATGAGCCCCAAAACGTCAATTGGATGACCAGCTTTGAGGTATCGGGTAAAAGCGCAGTTGAGCATGAACCGCTGCTGATGAGAGCACCTGCTGCAGATAATTTTCAATATGTGTAGAAAAAGGATTGATTAGAAAAGGTAAAAATTTAACATAGTTTAATCATAGTATCAACTAGTTATCATTAATCAACTAGTAGTTCTATGAGTTTAATGAGTCATCAGATGGTTTTAACGTTTTTCATTTTGTTTGCTACCGATCGAGTTTGAAAAGCTGTTAATGATATGAAACCAAATACCTTATGATATTGTACACCCATATACAGTTCATATTGTTAAAATATTATCACAAGCCAACAGCGTTAGTCGGTTTAATAATAATGATAATGTTTTTTTATACACTAATTAAATTGAATATTTTATTGAATTAAATCCTATTAACCAAGTGTAATAAAAATATATTTCATTCTAAATCTAAAATATACGTTTTCAGTAGTGATGTGCCAACTCGAATCAAGTGATTCGAATTATTTGAATCAAGCCATATTTGTATCACATTTTACTTGAATTGAATCAACCCGTATCAAGCCGAGAAATATTTACTGTGATACAATATGTATTATGAATTATAACATGTGAACATAAATTTTAATAAACTTAAAAAAAAAACTAGCATGGCAAATTGCTGGAACTTCCCGTATCGTAATTTAACATTTTTATAGCTGTGAAAAGAAAATTTAGATATATTTTGAAAATTTTGAATTTTTTTCAACTTTTTTGAAAATTTTGATAACTTTAAAATATTGATATATTTTGTAAACTTGAAAAGTTTCTGAAAACCAAATTTTTAAAAATTTTGTTTTTTTTTCGTTGAAAATATGTACTACTATTATCTTATCATATAAAGTGAATGACTTTACATTGAGCTCTCCGTTTAGTTAAATAAAATAAACAAGCTGTCAAACCACGAAGGTTGATTATTATTTTATATGCTTTAGTGATGCAGAAGTATTTGATTAAATTTATTGTGAATTAATGTGAAAATATATTTCAAGCATCTCCAATCATTAATTAAATTCAAATCATTAATTATATTTAAATCAAAAATTAAATCATTTTTATAATATATATTTTTGGTAGTAATTTGTATTTAAAATCTTTAACTTATTGAGTATATTGATCAAACTCAATACTTTTTTATCATATTTACTAAATAAATACATTTATAGGGCTTTTTTGCCTTTTTGCCATATATAAGCTCGATTCGAATCAGGTTTTTTTCTAATTCCAATGATTTGAATCAAGAAATTTTCGCGGCAGCACATCACTAATTTTAGCTTCTGTTATTTCCTTTTTACATTTGTCACTACTTATTAAAAACTCAGCATGTTAATTTGTGATTATTCTTTCTATATAAATTATAGCAAACAAATTTTTGTATTGTTTTTTTTTTTCAGGTAATTTTTACAGTGAAACTTTTGATGATTTTAATCTTCATATGTTTCTAAATTTTTCTCATAAAGATACATGAATGGATTTTATTTATTATAATATATAAGATTCACAAACATTTTTTGGTCATATGGTTATTGATAGCTGCAACAAATATTTATAAACTATTAATTGCTATCAAATGAAAAATATAGTAAGTAGTTACAAGATTGATTATTAAAATTAATTGAGCACTAAAACATAATAATCAGCACTTTCGAATAATTTAATATCACAGTCGTAAGAACGCGCTTAGTGTTTTTATATTCACAGTTTTGTCCTATCTTTATGGAATTATGGCAAATTACATATAGTTTATGTATGATTTCAAAAATATATTTAAATGTTGTTGAGTTGCCAATTTTGAAATAACTAAAAGTAAGCTATGACAGAACAAAGCTTAATATTGACACTTTTGAATATTTAAAATACAATCAAACATTATTATATTCAAGGGCAAATGTAAAGTAGGAGCTCCTAATTTAAATATAGTTTAGTTTTTTATATTGTCAACAAGGAAATGAAAGGTCAAAACGATGTTGTGTTTAAAACGTATCTCTTAATATTCTTACATATATACAAAACGGAACAACTTTATTTTTGTCTATGTATTGTATATACATTGTAATGAAATCTGGCAAACATATGGCAATTTCTGTATGAATCGCCATGTTTGCGAATGATCTATAAGACAAACGCCACTGCCGTAAACTTTCAGCTTTTGCTTACATTTATTTTTGATGTTATGACGAGCTGCTAGATTATTTTAACAAAAATGTATCTAAGTAGGCATTTTAAAATTTATAATAGCAAAGAGATCCATATGAGTATGTTTACGTTATACTCTCTAGGTTTGTAAATTCGAAAATGATTTACTTATTCTAAATTAGAAACATTATTTTATGAGTAGTTGTCCATGCTATACATGATGAAATTATACTACTATCTGGCATATCACATCATTAGTGTTGATTGCAAAAATTGTATTTTATAGAGTATTAATATCATGCACATGGACTTGGTGGTATTTAGATTAGAGGCAAAATGTGATAACTCGCCGCGTTGAACTGAATATAATAAAACTAAAGAGTAATAGATGGCTAAAACATTGTTTTTCCTTGGAGGTTTGTTTTGACGCTGTTACTGGAAATTGACTCCTAGACACTAAATAAAACTCGCGTTGATGGCTGGTTGATTATGTACAAGATATCAATAGAGCTTTGGTTTAATATTGGTCTTGCTATATGACATTTAATCAAATTTATGATCAATTGATTCGGTATTTTTAAGTGGGAAATGTATCTTTACGCGAAAGCTAATCTAATGAGGGCCGATGTAAGCCATCGCTATAGCTTGTATAATTCATTCCATAATCCATATACAGCGGTACCCCCCCGACATACGAGTTTAATTTGTTTCGTAACCATGCTCATATCTCGAAGCCATTTTTTTTTTTCATATAAATACATTGTAATAGCATCGTTCCAGCACTGTGGGTTTTGTCAAGTTTTTTAAATATGAAAAATAATTTTTTTTTTCCTGTCCATTTATGATAAAAGCAAAAAAGGCGAGCTCAACATATGTAACTGTACAATCACCCTTAATGTATAGTCAAAATTTCGAACATTAAAAGAATCCTCAATTGATCCGCATGGGTAAATCGTTACTACACAATTGATATTAATATACAATTGAAATAACTAATTATAAAATAGCCTATATATTTCTATGTCAGGAAAATCATTGTTACAACTGACAAAATTTTCATATTTTTATTTTGCCATTAACATTTGAAAGTTACTAGAAAACTTTTACTCACTCAACTTTTACTCGTATGTCGAAGCAATGAATTGCTGTTTTAGAGGCTCGTAACTCGTATGTCAGGTTGCTCGTATATCTGGATACCACTGTATACATTTTATTAGTTTAAACGTTACTTTATGACATAAGCTATAATTAAAACTAGTAAACTCGTATTCATTTCCATGTACTAATGCAACACTAATTATTTTCGTTTTCTTTTAACGTAATAAGAGTAACGAATTTCAATAAATCTATTTTACTTAACATATGAAACAAGCGTTTATAGCTTATTTTTCGCGTTTTAAGTGTAATCAAATGTGTTTTCGACGGCCTGGAATCTTTCATAGAATTCGTACTTTATTCTATTTTATCTTTATTATTTTTTTCGACTGGATATTCAAAACTTGAATTATAGACAAAGTTTATATATGAATTATAATGAAGCTATTGCTTCGAACATATATTATTGTTATGAAAACATCGTTACTAGTGAGAGTAACTGTAACTTTGCATTAATAAAACGTGTATTATAGATCCGATACACTAGTTATAGATCATAAAAGTCATTGTATTTTATTCTAGTCAGTAGTTAGAGATCAACACAATTTTATAAATTCATATGATATGTATATATACATATGTATATGTATCTTTATTTATACACAAATGTACGTAAATTTAATTATCGATTTTTATAAACGTTTTGTTGGTTCACATGTCCCGTAATTTTACCATTAACACAGTCCATCTTATTTGTTTAATTCGGTTAACTAACAAAGTATATCCTATTTGTTTTCGAAATATAAAAAAGTGTTACAAATTTTCATTATTTTTATTATTTATTTATATTCGACGTATAGATTGGAAATATTCATTACAGTTCATATGAACGAGTAATATGCAGCAATAATAAGTGTTAAATTAATAATTCGTTTCAAAATTCAGTTTTCCTATCCATTTCTCGCTATTTTTACACAAACAACCGATGACGCTAGTCTAGCAGGGTACCACTAATGTATTTGAAAAATAAATGAAATATTCTTCAAGAAAATTTTATGAGGTGTCACCTGTCACTAGTAACTCATATCTTTTCATTCGTGTTTTTATTGTGAATTTTTCTCCAAATATTGCATTATTACATGCTATTATTTCACTATAATGTAAACATGTGCTATATGCTGCACTGTGAACTTATTTTTTGGGACAAGTGTGTTAGCTCGGTCACTTTATGTTGTAATATACATTTCATATATATAAGATTTAGATTTTTTTGTTCGACGTTGAGACATCTTCTTGAATGTTGATTTTCAGCCAATCGTCGAAATAAAAGAAAACAATAAAATATTTATTTATGCTTTTAGATACTGTAAAAAATTTCAAAAAGGGTTGCTGGATGATGACACACAACCGTGACGAAACGTATAAATAAATATTCTCTTTTATTTCGACGATTGGCTGAAAATCAACATTCACACATATATATATATATATATATATATATATATATATATATATATATATATGTATATAAATATAGATATACAGTGGTGTTGTCGAGCCGGAACGCTCCGGAACGTCGTTCCGGCAAATCATTTTTGGACAGGAACGCGTTACGGCAAAAAAAAATTGAAAAAAATTGCTACATACAAAAAATGATTTAATAAGTGAGTTTTATAATTTATAATTTAGCTGATTTTTAATAAACTTACCTATTATTATAAAACACCTATATATGTACAAAATGGTTTTGTAATGATTTTTGTTTTTTTTTTCGAACGGAACAGGAACAAATATGAGAACCGGTTTTTTAATTTTAGCGTTCCGGTAAAAGAAATATTAGTACAACACTAGTGTATATAATATATATATATATATATATATATATATATATATATATATATATATATATTAAATTTTATAAGATATGGTCAAACATCTTCATTTTGTGTACTCTGAATAATTTTTAAGGTATTTTCTAAATTATCGAATTAGTTTTAATTGATTTATATATAAGTAAGGCTTGGTATGGGGCATGGACATGTT